GGGGAAAGGGGGGTGTTTATATCAAATTAATTTTTTATTGGGAGAAATGATTCGTTAGAGGAGAGATCTTAATCGGGTGGATGGGCATTGGAAGGGGCTCCCAAGGGATTGGCCCCAAGAGCTCAGGGAGCGTTCGGACGACGGTCTCGAACATGTGGGGGGATTTTTGGGATGGCCTGGGCAGGGATTGGACTGGATGATCCTCACAGGTTCCTTCCAACTCGAGATATCCCATAATTCCAGAGCTCAGGGAGCGTTTGGATGACGCTCTCAGGGACAGGGTGGGATTTTTTGGGGTGTCCTGGGCAGGGATTGGACTGGATGATCCTCACAGGCCCCCTTCCAACTCAAGACATTCCACAGTTTTGGAGCTCAGGGAGCGTTTGGATGAGGTTCTCAGCCCCAGGGGTGGGATTTTGGGGTTGTCCTTGGGCAGGGATTGCCCTCCACGACCCTTCCAACTCACATTCCATCCCCCTGTGATGGGAAATGAATCCCCCATCTCTCACCCCCACCCGCCGAGAGCTTTGTAACCGCGGCGCTTCCCGATTTCCTCGACCGCGTTCTGGGCCGGATCAGGGATGTTGGGGACACTGGGGACATGGGGGACATTGGGGACAGCGTGGGGTGCCCCCAGGTGCCCGACATGGCCGAGATCCAGTCCCGCCTGGCCTACGTGTCGTGCGTGAGGCAGCTGGAGGTGGTGAAGTCCAGCTCGTACTGCGAGTACATCCGGCCGCCCATCGACCGCTTCAAGACCATGGACTTCGGCAAGTTCGACGAGATCTACGTGAGCTGAGGGGGAGATTGGGGTGGGGGGGGAGGTAAAGGGGCCTGGAGAGGCGCTTTGGGGGTCCCCAAGCTGTGGGTTGGGGTACTGTAGCCCTCAGTTGGGGTGTCCCACCTGTCAGTTGGGGTGTCCCACCCATCAGTTGGGGTGTCACTTTGGATGTCCCCAAGCCGTGGGTTGGGGTTCTGCAGCCCTCAGTGGGATGTCCCACCCATCAATGGGGATGTCCTACCCATCAATGGGATGTCCCACCCCTCAGTTGGGGTGTCTGGGGTGTCATTTTGGGTGTCCCCAAGCTGTGGGTCGGGTTTCTGGAGCCCTTAGTCGAGGTGTCCCACCATCAGTTGGGATGTCCCATCTATCAGTTGGGGTGTCTGGGGTGTCACTTTGGGTGTCCCCAAGCCGTGGGTTGGGGTTCTGCAGCCCTCAGTGGGATGTCCCACCCATCAGTGGGGTGTCTTTGGCCATCAATAGGATGTCCCACCCATCCATGGGATGTCCCACCCATCAACTGGGATGTCCCCCCCATCAATGGGGATGTCCCATCTGTCAATGGGGATGTCCCACCATCCCTGGGCTGTCCAGCCCACCCCTGGAGGTGCCCCAGTCCCTCTCACCGGGGGGTGGGTAGAGTTCCCGGGCCACCGACGGGCGGCTGTGCCCGCAGGACGTGGGGTACCAGCACGGCAAGGTGGTGTTCGAGGCCTGGCGCCAGGGGGATGTCATCGACAAGATGGTCCGAGACCGGCGCTCGGCCGACTTCTACGAGAGCAAGCGCATGGATGTGAGGAGGGGGGGACACTCTGGGGGTGGGGGGGACACCCTGAGGGTGGGGGGGACACCCTGGGGGTGGGGGGGA